GCGAAAAATTTTGAGCGCGCGCTTTCCGGGCGCCCTGGCCTAGCGGCCTGGGCGGCCCTTGTTTTGTGCGAGGGGCCAGGGTTCGAGCCTTGGAACCAGCAGGTTTGTACACCAGCAGCGCATTTTTTTCGCCTCCCCTTTTTCAGGCGCGTTGGGGGGTCTTTTGTGTGCCCGTTGTTGATCTTTGTGAGTACTACCTGCCAGCAGCAGCAAGAGCAAAGGAGCAAAAACAGCAAGCCAGTTCTCATGGAAGCAGAGGCAAAAGAGAGAGGTCCTACTGAGATTCGAACTCAGGTCGCGAGATTCAGAGTCTCGAGTGCTAACCGACTACACCATAGAACCTTGTTTGTTGGGAGGCGCTCAAGTGTCAAGAGCGGGCGCGCCCATACCCCAAAAAGCAAAGAACGAAAAGCACAGCAAGCAAGCCAACAAACAAAAAAATACAAGGGGGCACCGGAAGTCGAATCCGGGACCTATCGATCTGCAGTCGATTGCTCTGCCACTGAGCTATACCCCCGTTGTGTGAGTGGGAGTGTGTCGAGTGACTTTGTGGCATGCCATGGCGATCAAATGAAAAAGTGGATGTTCAGAGCGGGGTTTGAACCCCTGGCCTCTGCATGTTCAACACACGTGGCGCAAAAACAAAACGACAGCGACAGGATTCGAACCTGTGCAGGCAATGCCTAATAGATTTCGAGTCTATCTCCTTAACCGCTCGGACACGCTGTCTTGCTTCTGACGTAGCCCTCATGGGTTTTGGCGGGTCTCACTGCGTTCCAGCAGCAAACAGGGAGTTTGTTTGATCGAGGCTGGTCTTTTCCAACCTGTTTCGCATTTATGCAGAGCACACCATGCCCGGTTAGCTCAGTCGGTAGAGCGTGAGACTCTTAATCTCAATGTCGTGGGTTCGAGCCCCACACTGGGCGGTCATTTTTTCCACATTTTCACTTTTTGCTTTACTACACCACCACCTTTGAACCACCTCCACACTCACTGTCAGCAAGAACAAACTCGCTCTCCACAGCTTCTTGCAGCCTGCGCATCTTTGAAAGCAACAGGGCGTGCTGAGTAGAATCAAAGTTACTGCAGAGTCATTTCAGCAAACATCAAAAGGCAGCACAGCTGACAAGCTTGCACAGCTGACAAGGGCATGAAAGAACAAAAAATTTCAAAAATGGAGGTTGGGGGGATCGATCCCCCGGCCTCTCGCATGCGAAGCGAGCGCTCTACCACTGAGCTAAACCCCCATGCTGGCTGCTGTCGTTCCATGCATACCTTGTGTTCGTCATGCAAGCCGACTTAGCTCAGTGGCAGAGCGTCGCTCTCGTAAAGCGAAGGTCGGGTGTTCGATCCCCCCAGTCGGCAAGCTTTTTTTTTCTTCTTCAGTTTCTCTCACTCCCTTCTTGGCTGGTGTCTTGCTCTCTTTTTGCACAACCACCCATTTGACACGCTCACTCCTCGAGTCCCCCATGGTCCAGTGGTTAGGATCCCCGCCCTTTCCCCGCGGTGGCCGGGGTTCGTTTCCCCGTGGCGGAGGTCTTTTTGTCCAAGATGAAGGCTGAGGGGGGGGGGGGGGGGGGCACTTCAAGTCTTTTGCCATCTGTTGGCATTGGCCAGTACTGGGAAGGGGGCTGCTGCAATCAGACACCCTCAGAAGCACTCAGAAGCACTCACAGTGCTTCAAAAAACACCTTTTGGGCACCCAAAGCGCGTGATCATGCTCAGGATTAGGCAAGAAATCAGTGTTGCAGCACCCCAAACACAGGCTTCTGGGGGGCGCCCAAGGGCCTTGCAGACCTCCAGCAAGAGCAAAGCACTCAGGATGCTTCAAAAACAACTCTTGAGTACCCAAAACACACGATCTCCAGTGACCCCCAAGCATCTTCCAGACCTCCCCAAAGAGCAAAACGAGAGAAAAATGCAGGGCTCGACCGGGGATTGAACCCGGGACCTCTCCCACCCTAAGGGAGAATCATACCACTAGACCATCGAGCCGTACAAGAAAATGGGATCCAGAACGTCCCAGCACCTCCCAGCAACTCAGATGGCCCACCTGCAACCCCTCTGTGACATGCTGTGTCCGCTTCCAAGGCATGATATGGTTCTCTAGAGACGTTTTGAGCCCAATCTAGCATCCCTGCAAAGTTGTAGCGCCCAGCGGACAGTTTGAAATTTGGCGAAAAATTCATGTTTTCATCGGGGTTCGAACCTATGACCTCAGCATACCCAAGCATAACGTTGTTTTGGGTGGCCGAGGTTCGAACCCCAGTGCGGTCGTCCATTATTTGCTGATTTTCATTTCGCTGCTATGGCCGCCAAACCTGTCAGAAGGTGTGGGAAACAACTTGAAAGATATGATTCGTTATGAAAAGGGGGCAGTTTGGTTGGTTCCAGCAGTGGGAGGGGCCTTGTTGTGAAGTTGAAATATGTCACGAACAGACCAGGGATTGAACCTGGGACCTCCCCCCACACCATATGGGAGAAGCATCACACTTTTTTGAGTGGTTGCACTGGGGATCGAACCTGTTCCTGTGCCATAGCGTCAGTTCATCAGAGAGCCCTTCACAGGCAAAGCAACACAGTGCCTTGCCTCTCACTGCATATCAGCTGTCTTGTCATCGAATTGCAAGACAAGTTTGGTGCGTGGAAATGCAAAAAGGAAAGGAAGCAGCTTGAGGTCAAAGCAGCTGAAAAATGTTATGAATGAAATGAAAAAAGGTCTCCGCAACAGGGAATCGAACCCTGGCCGTCACGGTGAGAGCGTGAAATCCTAACCACTGGACCATTGCGGACTTGTTGTGGACCACATGGAAACTCCACAAGGTTGGTCGAATGATCGCTGGAGCAACATGTGGGCTTCCCCAGCCTCGCCCAACAAGGACCTATGGCCAAATGGATAAGGCGCCTGACTACGGATCAGGAGATTCCAGGTTCGATCCCTGGTAGGTTCGTCCTTTTTTTTCTTTCTCTTCTCTCTTCTTACCTACTTGCTTGCGCGACCTTCCCAATGCGCAACAGGCAACATGCAAAAAAATCGATTTCAACAAAACTGAGGAGAGTGGGATTCGAACCCACGCCTCCGAAGAGATCACGGCCTTAACGTGACGCCTTAGACCGACTCGGCCATCTCCCCAGTGAAAAACAGGCCTGAGAATGCCACCTTGTACTTCACCTCGACACGCCCACCCACAATCATGAACACAAAAAACGAATGCGGAGTGGGAGGCTCGAACTCCCGACCTTTGGATTATGAGACCAACGCTCTACCGACTGAGCCAACTCCGCTTGGTCTCAAAGAAGCAGTCTGAGCAACTGCATCAGTGATCCACCTGGGTCACTGGAGAGCAGGCTCTAGTGGCGCAATTGGTTAGCGCGTTCGACTGTTAATCGAAAGGATGGTGGTTCGAGTCCACCCTAGAGCGTTCATTTTTTTGTTCATGGTTTCCAACCCGAAACCACTTGTTGCCTTGAACATGCACACACACGCCAAAAGTGCAAAGGACAAAAAAAAAAGTGGTCCCAGACGGGGTCGAACCGTCGACCTTGGCGTTATTAGCACCACGCTCTAACCAACTGAGCTATGAGACCTTGGCAGTCACTGCATGTGCAAGCATGTCTACACCACAGAATCTGACTTGTGCACCTGCTGCCTTCCCCTCACTAGCACCATCTTCTCTTGTCATCTTGAGATCCAAGTTGTGCTTGTCGTGTTTGGCACTTGCTCGTTTGCATATAGCACAGTTCTAGGAAGATGCTTCCTGGTGGTTGATTGGGTGTGCAAGCCCCTAGGGGCCAACATCTCTTCTTCATCTCAGCACTGACAGGTCCTGGGCTGCCTGCCAGCCTTTGCTCAGTCACAGCTTTGAAACAGCAGGGATGTGCAGAGAATGGAGAAAGATGTTTGCCACGCTTCTTTGCAAAAGGCAAGGATGCATTTGGAGTGCTTTCTTGTCAGTGGGTGCAGGTTTTGGTCCTGGAGAGCCAAGGGCATCTCATAAAGGTGGTCTAGGCCTTTACTCTTTGCAACAGCTGCATTTGGCTGCCCAATGCTCATCATTGTTGTTGCAACAGAGAACCAAGTGCGAAACCATCTCTCTTGAGCGCATTCGAAACGATCTAGCGCGTGCCAAGAACAAGAGCGCCTGCATCTACTCTGATCCATGATCTTCTCAGGGCAAGGATGGCCCAGTCTCCATGGATCGCCCAACACGTCAAGACTGATGCAAAAGTTCTCAGGTCAATCTCGCGTAGTATAGTGGTTAGTATCCGCGCCTGTCACGTGCGAGACCCGGGTTCAATTCCCGGCGCGAGAGCTTTTTTTTTTTTCTCCTTGCAGTCAAGGTGGCGCGCTGGGGGTTGGCCAAGCTGTGCATTGTGTTGTTCATCATGGGGGATTAGCTCAAATGGTAGAGCGCCCGCTTAGCATGCGGGAGGCACCGGGATCGATACCCGGATTCTCCATTCTTTTTTGGTCCCTTTCCCTCTGCCTCATCTGTGCATGAGCTTCAAATGCCTTTTGCTTCGCTGGCAGAGCAGCCGACCATAGCTCAGTTGGTAGAGCGGAAGACTGTAGTGAACATAGCAATCTTTAGGTCCCTGGTTCGAATCCGGGTGGTCGGACAATCGCATTTTTTTTGGTTCTGTGGAGCTTGCTCAAAGGGCCTCTCTGCCTTGCTCCAAGCGTTATGTGGACCCATTTGACTGTGAATCGTTTTGCAGCGCACACTAGTAGGCTTTCTTAGCTCAGTTGGCAGAGCGTCTGCCTAGTAAGCAGAAGGTCGCCAGTTCAATTCTGGCAGGAAGCAACCTTTTTTTTTTTGCCCAGCTTCCCAACTTTGGTCCACGGCATTTTTCTTGCCTCCATCACGCGCCATGCACATCGCTTTTTGTTTTCCTGCGCGCATTCGCGCTCAGGAGCGTCAAAGAAATGCAGAGTAGAGGCTGCCATTGCAGGAGTGGTGGTGGCTGAGCCTTGTCCATTTCAAGCTTCTGTGCAAGAGGCTGTCTTAGTATAGTGGTTAGTACTCCACGTTGTGGCCGTGGTAGCCCCAGTTCGATTCTGGGAGACAGCATTTCTTCTTTTTGCCACTTGTGGTTGGTTTCCTCTCCCTGGTCCTGCAGCAGCCACTGGCGGCTGGCTTCCCAGACTTGTGCTGAGAGGTGAGAAGTGAGAAAAAAAAAAAAAATGTCACCTCCGTGGATTGAACACGGGACCTTAAGATCTTCAGTCTCACGCTCTCCCAACTGAGCTAAGGTGACTTGATGA